AGAAAAAAATTGCTTTACAAACCTTAAAGACTTAAAAAAAATTTATATTTTGCATATGAAAGCATTGTAATGTTTACTGATAATCTACCAAATTTCATTAACATTCGCTTACTAATTTAAAAGTTACAGCACGGAAGCTATAACAAACACAAAATTGTTATGAGGTCAGTCCCAGGGACTGAACCCGTGCTAAAAGAGTTAATATTGAACTGACAAACCATCAAAATTACCTAAAAAACAAAGTAATAATCAATACCTAATTTACATTAAATCTAAATTAACTTAGATGACAAAGAACACATAAATATCTAACTTACAAAAGTCCAAGCACTGATGATGTGAAATTCTTCCACGTGTAAAGAAGGACAAAGCCAAACAAATGGCATCTGATATTGCAACTAGGTGAGTAGGAAGTGTACCAGTCAAATAACTTATCATCAATCCACTGGGAGCTCTGGAAGCAACAGGAAAAAAAGGAGGAGAAGAACAAACCTCCACCAAATTGAATGACATGGAGGCACGGCAACAAATGCAGAGAAATCACCCTTGTCTCGATCATACAGAAAAAACTGAATATGTGTTGACCTGAGTAACCAGCTGTAAAAAAGGATGTGGAAGGTGAAATCTCCTGAAGAGTGAGTGTGACAGACCAAAATAAGAACGTGCCAGAAAAAGAGAGTCCAAATTATCTTCTCCTCGATTGTATTCTTTCTCAGCAACATTGTCAGGTTGATAATGAGAAGAAATCACCATCCAATCATATGAATCTAGCTCCCTGCAAATTAAGGCTTGTACCTCCTCTGCAGATAAAGTTGAACCCAATTCCTGGATAGTCGTACCATTAGAGTTGTCAACAGTAACAGGAACTACCATAGTCGATAAATTGAATCGCAATTTCATACAAAGTTCTTGTATTATTCAGTAAAAAGAAAAAAATGTAAAATAAATGGTTGAATGCAAACACAATACAAGAAAACTGTTGAAAAAAATTTAAATGGCAAATAAGCAAAATCATAAATAGTAGCCACATGCGAAAAAACACATGTCTAAACGATGCTGTGTCAATTAAGAAAGTGAGGATTGGGCAGGAATAGGAGAGGGAGCTAGCTGCCCCAATATAGGTGGCACAATACTATTGATGAAGTGTAGTTACACGATATGTACAAGTTCAATTGTGGTACAAAATTGGTTTGGTATATAGACTGGTTCACTGAGTGAGAAGTTTTTGTTAGCAATGCTTAAAGAGCAGAAAGAAGATTAAGATAGTTTTATGTGAGGGGAAATTCTATATGGGAAATGTAGGAAAACAAGTATTAGTTAATGAAATCTAGAACATAGGTAACCATTTTTAATTTATTCTTAAAAAATTATCACAATGATATCTTTTTTGATTTTCAAAGCTACAAGTTCATAGAAATATCACTTATAAAAATAAGAATTCATTTTGCAGAAGCCACATAACCAGTAGAAGGTTTATCTCATGTTTCAAACTAATTCACCTAGTAATTTTTTTGTTTTGTTTTTATAATGCATTAACACAAACTACACAGCACATGCATTGGATTGATGAAAGAAAAACTGAAATATATTTGTAGACAAGTTGAGAAAACAAAAGCAAATGCAACACTTACTGGAAGTTCACCTTGTCCACAGTGAACTTTGTTTCAAATATTCCAGATGTTAAAACTCTGCATCTCAGTATATCCTGACAAAAAAAATATTAATTGGACTTTAAAATTATAAATATTTTAGCACAATAACTAATAATCTCAGTACAATGGGTGAAAATCCTAGCTTCTATTTGTATCTTTCTCACTTGCAAGAAATTCAGCTATGTAAGAGTTATTCATCGTAACTTAAAATACATCAATTAAATACAAAGAACCCTGAAACTGACATGTGCTCTGCATAGAATATTTCAAGATTTGTTGCAACAAGTACTTGAAAGGAAAACATTTGGCTACAAGGATAAGCATCAAATTTGTATTGAAATCTCACCAAATGTGGCAGCAACAACAAAAAAAATGCAATTAAGTTATTTTAATATATATTTTAACTTGGAACCACTTTCATGCCAATGTGCAAACAGAATTCAAATTTAGCCATGCCAACATCATTATAAAAAAATTGGAATGATCAAGATTTATCATCAACTTCAAACTCATCTTGACTTTTATATAAGAGAGTTTATGGTCTATACTTTAAATCAGTTTTGACAATAAATATGCAAACTACTAGTTCGATCTGTGCCAAATCTTAAACAATAACTTCTGGAGCATTTGTAACCTTTTGTACCTAATCATATCTTATAACTTACTTATGTATAACAACAAATACGTTTGACTTTAACCTTCAGCATCACTTATTTTTATGTAGACAGTTCCTAGTGCTTTTCACTGGGATAGTTTGGAATAATCATGAAATGAATATCAGCATTAACTTTATACGGCCGTTGAAATTAACACATAAGTAAGATTCATGACCTCAAAGTTGAGTATATTTTGCAACAAAACTTTTGCCCTCTATGACATTAATCAACCATCTTTTATATTAATGATTAAGTACAAACAAAGTAAAAAAAGAAATCATATTTCTTAAATAATCAGGTCTGGCAACAAAGAAGCAAAACTTCCCATTTCTGTAATTTTATAAATGTAATTTTGAAAAAAATATATTGGAAAACAAACAAAAAAAAAACAATTTGATTCCCGCTTCTGAAATAATTCTGGTCTTTTAAGCATAAATAAGAAGGTTTGAAACAGGATTCTTCCTTAGGAACCAAAAATGGCACCAACTTTTATCTGATACTTAGGACAACTTGTTCTATATGCAATAACAAGGACTCAATTTTTGTAACATGAACATATTTTGAAACAAATAAACAAAAAGCAATATAGCCACTTCAGAAGACACTGACTTTTTATGAACAACCTGGATTTGTTGTTTAACCAAAGTATGTTAGAAAGTGATTTGTAACTTCCATGTTACCTTCTGAGTCAGCTTGAACTTTAAGAATAAGACTAATGACCTACAATTTTATCACATTTGGTCAATGTCACTCCAGTGAGGCTCAAACAAATAGAAGCATAAACTAACACATGCCAGCTCATATATACATGTGTATACACTGGTGAGCACCATGCCCTTCACCCTAACATTAGTCCAGTCTCCTAGGTGTGATGTCTAATGTGTGGGAAAAGTGACTACCAAATGCCCAGTGAAAAATTCCTGGTTCATATGAGAGTATAAACAAAGGAGTAAGGGCATCATTTTCTTGATTTGTGAGCATGTCTACCATTCAAGAATCATTCCTCATTCCAACAAAGATAGGTAAAATTCTATATATATTGTTATAAATTTAAAAAACAAAAGATAGGAGGAATAAAACACATAAGTTCCTATGAGCCTAAAGAGAAGTTTCTGGAGACAAAAGGAGTAACTCAGTTAACTTAACTGAAGTAATCACCCCTCTACAGAATACATCCATGTTCATCACCCAAGAATTATTCTTTCCAAAATTGAGGGTCGGGTTTAAAATACAAGCACACATATTTAGGACATTTGCTTTATTGGTTTCTTGTTAAGCACAAAGCTGCACATAAGACTGTCTGTGCTGTGCCCACCACAAGTACAAAAACCCGGTTTTTAGCATTATAAGCCTTTACATTTACCACCATGCCACTTGGGTGGGTGGGTGGCTACTTATAAAAATTCTGATGGGAATTATAAAGTCCATTATATGCACATACCTACAACAGAAATAATCCCTAAATAAAGCTGGATAAAATTCCAAAGATAACTGTAAGAAGAGTTCGTCAAACAAAAATACATTAGTGTAGGTTTAGAAATAGAGAATTCTCTAAGAAAATGCTAACCTAATCTAAACGTGTACGAGCACAAACAAAGTGATAAAAGAAATCATATTTCGAAGACTCGTTTAAGAATGAGTAAAATATTCACTTAAACAAAAAGACATGAGAATTGAAAGCTTTAATTTAAATTTTGTTAGGATGATGGTTCACATTATTTCTATTTTTAATATTATTAACACAAGTATCCCATTTTTTTTATTCTGTGAAAATGCAATTTTTATTTTGAAACAAAATGAGACAGATTTTTTTCACATTTTTGAAATACACTGTAATTACCTGCTCTGTTGGAGTATAGTCAGACTGTTTGATGATACTAACTCTATCCAGGAAGCTGAAGAAAAAGAAAATTGTGGTTTAACTTAAACATTTAGCAATAAATACTACTATCATTATCATTCACAGCTACTATGCAATTTCAATTCAACTTAACAAATCTACAAACAATCCCCACATTATAACATCTGGTTAAAGATCTACAAACAATCCTC